CCCAGCAGATTGGAAAACAGCAAATGTGACGCCACTGTTTAAAAGGGGAAGTAGACAAAAGATGGGGAATTATAGACCAGTTAGCTTAACCTCTGTAGTGGGGAAGATGCTGGAGTCTATTATCAAGGAAGAAATGGCAAGGCATCTTGATAGAAATTGTCCCGTTGGGCAGTCGCAGCATGGGTTCATGAAGGGCAGGTCATGCTTGACAAATCTTTTGGAATTCTATGAAGACATTACAAGCGAGGTGGACAATGGGGACCCAGTGGATGTGGTGTACCTAGATTTCCAAAAGGCCTTTGACAAGGTGCCGCACAAGAGGCTACTGCATAAGATAAGAATGCATGGCATTAAGGGTAAAGTATTAGCATGGATAGAGGATTGGTTGACTAACAGGAAGCAAAGAGTGGGGATAAATGAGTGCTATTCTAGCTGGCAGTCAGTGACTAGTGGTGTGCCTCAGGGATCGATGTTGGGACCGCAATTATTTACAATTTATATAGATGACTTGGAGCTGGGGACCACGTTTAGGGTGTCAAAGTTTGCAGATGACACTAAGATGAGTGGCAAAGCAAAGTGTGCAGAGGACTGTGAAACTTTGCAGAGGAACATAGATGCATTGAGCGAGTGGGCAAAGGTCTGACAGATGGAATACAATGTAAATAAATGTGAAGTCATACATTTTGGTAGGAGTAATAGTAAAAAGGATTATTACTTGAATGGTAAAAAGTTGCAGCATGCTGCTATGCAGAGGGACCTGGGTGTCCTTGTGCATGAATCACAGAATGTAGGTCTGCAGGAACAACAAGTAATTAGGAAGGCAAATGGAATTTTGTCCTTCATTGCTAAAGGGATTGAAATAAAAAGCAGAGAGGTTATGTTGCAGCTGTACAAGGTGCTGATGAGGCCACACCTGGAGTACTGTGTGCAGTTTTGGTCTCCTTACTTGAGAAAGGATGTACTGGCACTGGAGGGGGTGCAAAGGAGGTTCACTAGGTTGATTCCGGAGTTGAGGGGGTTGGCTTATGAGGAGAGACTGAGTAGATTGGGATTATATTCATTGGAATTCAGAAGATTGAGGGGGGATCTTATAGAAACATATAAAATTATGAAGGGAATAGATAAGATAGAAGTAGAGAGGATGT